AAATCAAAGGTATTACGTTCGAAGGATTTTTATTGTTGGAGTATATCTGGATCTCGTTGTCCATTGTTTTGTTTTCAGGGTCAGATTCTAAGGTTCCAGCTTCAGATGGTTGGCAAATTGCTGGTTTTTATCACTCTAAGTTTCTGAATACTTCTTAGAGGCTCCCAAAAATAGCCAGCTCACTCTATTCCGGCTGAGGTACATTCACCGAAGATCCGTTCTCAAAGTCCACAAGGTTAAACATGGCAGTAGGAAAACATGGCAATGTGTTAAAATTATAAAATTGAGTTATAAATTCGATAACGAATTTGGGAAATTCAATCGTGAAAAGTAATAATTGCGTCCCTGGGACCAATTCGGCAATCCGATGGCACAATTTATTGCAAATATCCAAAGTCAATTCCCTAATGTACCAGCGATAAGTAAAAAATATTCAAAATTATTTTATACATCCCTACCGCGGTTTCTTGGATCTCAACATCAGTTGCCAAGCTCAGCTTGAGGGAAACGGTTTCTAAAAATACGCCACTAAAAAAAGGAACCCGCTTACCATGACTTGGTGGAAGACTCTCCTTATAAGTCTGACGATACTAGTTCTATGCAGGGGCGAAGAATCGTCCTGTCGCATATGGTCCGAGCATGGGAATCGGGTTATAAACAGAGAATACGTATTTTGCCATTGTAATGGTTCCTCCACAACGAGCAGTGATATTAAATTTGAAATACAAGAGCCTTTTGTTACATCTCCAATTGGTAACGTAACAAGGGCGGTTTATACTGAATTTTTAACAAACGGGAAGTCAATTCTATCTCCATTGGAAATTGTTGACAACTTCACTGTCAGGAGAAGAGTACTTTTTTTTTTGTCAATTGAGAAACTTTTTTATTGCGGTACGAATAAGGGCCATGAAATGTCAGTGGCGGCAGAAAAAATATTTAAAATACTTCCAATACTGTACGTGTCCAACATTGAGTGTCGATCGTACCAAAAAGAAGATGTTGGAAACTGCACCTTCCACGTTTTTAATATTCCATACCTGCAGGAAACAAAGTACTTTATGAGCGCAAACGGGTCGCCAAAAATTAAGTGTGTGGAGTTTCCAAAGTATAATATTGAGTGCCAAAACGTTCCCATAAACCAGAATATTACAACAAACCGTTTTAAGATAGAAATGGAAATAATGGGGATCATTCAAAATCGAGAGATTACCGTTAATTTGCACGAAATCGTTATTCCAAATTGGAAATTCATGAAAGTGAAATATGAATTCGAAACTGGGAAAAATTTAAACTGTCGCTGCGTCAGAGTTTTATCAAAATACGAGGGTCTAGATTGCAAAGTAAAATGCGGATTGGAGTACATGGATTGGAAACAGACTTGGCCGTCTGACTACAAACGTGTTTTAATTGAACAAAATAATTACACTTGCTCTTCCGAAAATTTCAGTGGCTACAAAAAAATTAAATCTAAAATTTCATGCCGATTTGGAGTATATGGGTCACCCTGGTCGGATGAGTTTATTTACAACTGTACGACAGATGCTACTCTACCTTCGAAGCCCCCACAGATTTTACCAAACGGATTTTTTTACGATCCGGATCAAAAGCAGCTCTACATTTTCTGGTTTCATCTCGATGAGATAGATTGGAATGGACCTAACTTTGGATATGCCGCACGATCGTCTGATGGGTAATTTATGACCTTTAATTAATTTTCGGTTAATAAATGTGTGATTTTACAGAAAAAATGCCGCAATAGTTTCCAATACCACTGCAGTATTTCACAATTGGGAACCCTCAGTCCCCGCCATCATTCACGTTTGGAGTGTAAACTCAGTGGGTCATTCGGAAGGAAGTAGCAGCTTGAAACTGGATAGTCTGACGAATGTAAATCAACAATGCAGAAATATTCACTTCAATGACAAGGAACAGGTGCTTAGATGGGATCCACCCACCGATACGAACAATCTTGTGGGGTACACGGTTTACTGGTGCACAGCCTCCCTAAATATACATCAGATCTGCGATACCAAAGATGACCTAAGGATGGAGGATCTTAGCCCCTCACAGCATAAATATCCATTTTCTAAGTCTATGAACTTCTCCAACATGGCAGTGGCGGTCAGGTATAGTGACAAGATCGGAGGTGGGATGCGGTGGACGGGTTACAAGTGGATTATAAACAAGACACCCTCTGCCGACACCCCGGGAGCTGGAATAAGTTACTACCTAGCCCCCATTGGAGTTTCCATCCTAATTGCATTGAGTATTTATGTATACCGAACATGCCGAAAATGTAATGATATCGAAGTGGTCCTCTGCGAAGGTCTGTTGCTAGACAGGGATATAAGCCCCCCTCCTCCCCAAGCTCCAACCGTGTTTCCCGGATGGGTCTCGCCGGAAACGGTAATGGATATCAACCGGCTAGTGCCGCAGAAGACAGCTGAAATGGAAAACGAATCCCAAGAGGAGGACTCTGGACCAAGTCCAGATACGCAGGAAGCTTTGGCAGACGCAGGCTCATACAGCTTTGTAAAAGTTTCCGATTTTTGAAGCCACAATTGCGGATATCTTAATTTAAGTTGAAGACTAAATGAAAATCACAAATCACAGGTGTACAAGCCAAAAAAGAAAGGATATGTTATAAGATATGTTTCTATATAATATGTCTTAATTTACATAGCAGCAACAAGATATGTATGATAATGTATGATATACGTATGATATTATTGTATATATGTATGATGTATGATATTCTATAAGTACCATAATATTCTTTCTCAAAGAGATACATTTTTTCTCAGATTCTCAAATTAAGACCAAACTTGCTATGACTTGCACAAATATTTCATGCCTTTTCCCACTTTTACAACACTGATGTTAGTAGCCAGCCTTTTAGGAAACTGGGTGGAAAGTCCCTAGTGTCCTGACTAAACGGTTTCAAGGTGTACATACCACAAGGATAATGTTATAATTTATTTTTCTATATAATGGGTTTTGATTTTATTTGATTTTACATACATATTACAAGAAAGAACATTCAAAGTAGAAAAAAAAGTGTATGATACATGTATGATATTATTGTATACATATATGTATACATTTGTTTGTATGTTGTATGTTATGTTTTTATAAGTTGTCTATAAAAAGTACTATAATATTCTTTCTCAAAGAAATATATTTGTTCTCATATTCTCAAAATAAAGCCAAACCTCCTCTGACTTGCACAAGTATTTCATGCTTTTTTCCGACTTGTACAACACTTAGTAGTAGTGTTAGTAGCCACTTTGTAGAGAAACTAACTCGAAACAACAAATGGCTCGTCAATCAAACTGGAGTTCATTAAACGACCGGCCATGTTTGCGACGTCATAAGCCCTACTACACGCACTCGGGGCCCAAACGGAGCGTGATGAATGTTTTTGAAACAAAAGTGTTACTGACCTCGCATTACACGTAAAAAACGTGCCTTTTTCGGGGGTGATAGAGAGGGCAACACACACGGGAGGGAGAGGGCACTACACAGGGTGCAGTGACCAGAGCCGAGGCGGGGAGATGGGGGCCAGTTTTGGGGGCTTCGGTCTGCCCCGCTTCACTTTTCACACTTTTCGTTTTCGTTGCGGGCCAGCCTCGACCAGCTCTTGGAATTTCTAAAAACCAATCTCACAGATAGAATTCCACAGAGAGAGAGATAGGCCAGGTAGTTCGGCCAGGTAGAGCGGGACGGGTAGAGGACTGGCATTCCTGGTTGCCAAGGCAACCCAACCCAGCAGCGCACGATCGCTGGAATGCAGCAGCTCCAGCAACAAACCTGGCTTCCAGCTACAACAACAACAACAAAAACTGGCCCGGCCATGTTGCTTTTTTTACAACATTTTTGTTGTTTTTGTGGATAGTTGGCCATGTAGTTTCGGGGAGGGGAAGGGGTGCTTGCACAGGGAAAAACTTTGTACAACTATGGTGGTATAGTAGAGGAGCTAACATCTATGGATGGTAGGACTACATATATCCCACCAGCATTGCCTCCAAAAATGATCTCATTTCTCTACGTGATCGCCACGACCGACTGTTGACTTTTCAATTGGAAATTGGACTTGGATCTGAGAATGGGCCTGGCTTTTGGATCTGAATCTCGGCTTTGTCTTTGGGAGTCTCTGCGGTAGACTGGAGGGGGGGAGACTGCGTGCGACTGTGTGTGGGTTTTCGGGGATGCTTTTGTGGATCGACTGACATGCTAAACCGGAATGTGGCTCATTCAGTGAAATGAGCATAATAACGATCCGTGATCCGGGGGAACGTGATCATGACGATCGAAAGCCAAAACCGCTCGTAACTTGAGGCCGGCGATCTAAGCTTGGGTCTCTCTTGTTGTTTTTCTGGTTTCTGCCATTCGCGCTCAATTGCGCCAGATTTGCGTTTTTTTTTTTTTGTACAAGCATATAAGTGCAGATACACAGATACAAAGATACAAAGATACACAGATACATATATACATTTTTAGTTTAGCAAGCAACTGGCCGAAAAATATGTCGCCAATGGATCAGATCCCAGAGCATGGAGCATGGAGTACAGTTGCAGCATCATCAGAGACCCCCCTCAGCACCTCCCCCCTTTTGGAAAATTCGATGGGAAAATTGCTGCCGCTGGACACTGAACTGAACACTGGGATGGTTCCAGAATCACGTTTGTACCGTTTTGTAGTGATTTTCCAGCCCACCTCCCCGGCCCGGCCCGAACCGACCCGGCCTGGCTTACACACTCACACACACACACACACCTCTCTCGCTGTCATTATCTGCTCTTTCTCTTTCCACCTTTGGGTTTTCAAGTGCAATTTTGAAATACCAGCTAACACACACACACACATACACTTGCAGCTCTTGGCCACGCTCATTAAATATTTTCGCTGTTGGATAATTTTTTGTTTCTTCTTCCCCCCACCTTCCCATGCCACCCAAAAGGGGGGGAAAAGAAAACTTCAAGTTCGCCTGCTGGTCTCACCTTGTCTGCACCTTGCGCTTCTGCTTCTTGTTGTTGTTGTATCTGTTGCTGCTTAATTGCACCTTAAAGTGAATTAATCACCATTTAGGCCACTGCCACTACTGCTGCTTTTTGCATACTTTCAACAGCCTTTCTTTCATTCAATTCACCTGGCTCTTTGCTTTTGTAATTAATTAAATATGCACACACACACTAGCACAAAAACACACACACACTGACGGCGCGCGGGCAGGTGTGGGGGTCGAGATAGTCGAACGTCGCGCAAGAGAACAGGTACGCGGGCGGTAAGCACGTCTGGCGGCAGGTAAGCGAGCTGAGCAACTGACGCCGACTCTTTCGACGGCTTCGCTTTGGGCCGCGCTCAGTGCTCAGCGATCGCGCCATCGTGCGGTCTCTTTCTGGCCCAGAGAACCGCAACGCAGTGGTGGGAAGACAAAAGAGACAGGTGAGCGTGGGGAGATACCAATTCAGCGAAAAGACGTTACGAAGCAGCGTTTGAATTTTACCTGCGACGCGTACAGCTAAAGAGAGGAGCGAGAGAGCGGAACTTACCTGTCGTTATCTCCCGCCACAGGTAACCAAAAATACATTTTACATCTACATCTTACAGCCTTATCCAACTGGCTTACGTCCTGGCTATTTTTACATGGATGTAAAAACTGGGCGCCACTTGGCCAAAGATGGCGCTGTTGTGTACGTTTTGAATTTGAAATTATTTATTTTGAATTTCAATTATATTTTAATATTATCTACAATTTTACTTAATTGAAATATTTTTAAAATTTTTATTACCTTTAAAATATCTTTATTTTTTAACCAAACATTTTTTTTTATTTTTTAAACGAAGAACTTTTTGAATTTCAGTTACTAAAAGCATGACATGAACATTTTTTCATTTCATAACATAAGAACAATTTTATCGCATAAAATAAAAAACACATTAATTCCAGCTTTTATCCTACAGATAATTGGCAGAGTGGAGGGGAGTGAGGGCGCAGCCCGCCCAGAATCATCACCTTCTTCCTTCCTTCCGCTTTCCCGCCAAAAAAGTTGCTTAAATCTGTGAAATTGCCCAAACACTCGAAAGCTTAGCACAGACGGTTGGGTAATGCCCCGCCATCGGCCCGGGAAAATGGAAATTACACGGCTAGGGGGTGGCAGTGGTTGGTGGGGAGTAGGGTGGCAGGGCCAGGGTAAAGGAAAAGTTAACCGCAGAACAGAGCCACCGTTTTCGGCAGCAGGAATACGTCATAAAAACGATTTAACAACCGAATAAGCAACCGCGAAAGCTGAATGACAATGTGCCCCTTAGCCACCCCTTTTTGGGGCCACCCACTCCCTTCCCCACCTCCTCTCGAGAGCGGAAATGAAGCCGACAAGGCGCGTAAAACAAAAAACCACGAAACGGCATATAATTTAAGGCTGGTATGGGCCTTTTCTACCAAGATACCAATGAAATCTTTTTAGTTTCAAGTCAATTTTGGGTATTCATTTGTGTAGAATTTTTAAATAAGAATGCAGTTGTTCTATTTCCAATTAACAAGCCCCCAGATACAGATACTCATCCGCAATCCCCGGCCTTGATGCCTTCGCTTAATCCAACTGTATTTTTTATGGCCTATCATGGAACGTCTAATGGCGGCAATTAAAATAAACGCCAGCGCCAGGAGCAGTTAGTACTGCCCTGTTTCATCTCATCTCCAAAGGATTTCAGGACGAGTCCTCCGGCCCTCCGGCAGCTAGAAAATGTGCGTTTAATGAAATTTTTATTCAATCAGCGCTGAAACTTTTATGGCCACGCACGCACCCACCGACAGCCCCAACAAAGTGCAAGACTGTACGAGGGAAAGGACCTGTTGAGTTTATGATAAAGTGGCTTCCTCCGACCGCTCCTTAACAGCTCCTAGCCAGCATCCCAGCCAGCATCCTAGCCCTTTTGGCCTGGCTGGGTGAGAAGTGCCCTGCTTTTACAGCCTCCATTTATCTTTCACTTTGCGCCACGCAACGCCTCGAGTGGCAGATGGAAGGGATTTCCCCGACTCCTCCGATGATGTTTGCTCAGAGGGGGCTATGGAAATGGGTATGGTTGAAAGGTGCCGATGGCTAGAAAAGCTACAAAGTATATGGCTTAGGGCTGCATATCCTTTGAAAGGAAAATAAATCAAAAATCAATCATAAAGAAAGGGTATTTTTTTTATATTAAGTTGTAAAGATGTCTTAATGATAATTTAATTATCTTGGGGAAATATTTTAACCTTCAATGTTTAAAGAATCTGACTCTTGAGACCTTCCTTTGAAAAATAAGTCCAAAGACCCCCCAGTTCCGTCACCAAATCAATTCTGATTTCGATTTCAGCAACCTCATTTCGAATGGAAATGGCAAAACCAAAAACCACCTCATGAATATCATTAGGAATAGCTCTATCCTGTGACACCGACTCCACATGCCTTTTTTAGTTGCTGTTGTTGCTGGCACGGCACCTTGCCACACACCTGCCCTGCCCTCAGGTTGCAATTAAGCATTTGCGTTTGTGGTGAGGCAAGTTGAGGCAAATTGTAGCCAAAAACAAACAAAAACGAGATACAAAGCGACCAGAAAGCCACCACCAGACCAGAAGACAGAAACTGAGAAAAACCTTTCCTGGCAGACAGGTGTACGCATTTCATTTACATAGATTAGGCGGATTAAAGCTGAAGAGGCACCAAAAGTTGGGGATTGGCGTCCCAATCCACAGTTTTCCCGGTTAATTAAAAAGTTTTTTCGAAATAAATTTACATAAATTTCGTTTGGCGGGGAAATCCGCGCAAATGAATTTCCTTCTAATTGACCAACACACCTGAGGGCTCTCAGCAGCTCCGCCCCACTTGAAAATGAAAATCCCACCTGCTGGAGCAACAATTGGCCGGGAGCTTGGGCCTTTAAGCGAGCTTTAATGGCCGACAAAGTGGCAGGAACCTTTTCTCCTTTGTGGGTCACCAGCTCTCGCCTCGCAGACCCACTTTTTATCTGCCGAATATTGATCGCATTAGTGAAAAGGCGGGAAACCGCACAAAAGGGTGGCCCCAGACCCGTTTTTTGCGCTTGGGTTTCGGCCATGTGGGTCAAGTAAACCAATTGACAGCTCTCCGAACTTGGGCAAGGACAAAGGCGGCCTACGAGTGTGTATATTAGGGTTATGACTGTATGGGTGCGGGCCACCTGGCTGCCTCTATAAATAAATCATGGCTTATGATAATGTGCGACACACCCCACAGTGGCACAAAACAAATACACACACCATAAGATATGGGCCAATAAATGGGGAAAGGGGAGAAGGCCCATCCAAACAGTAGAACTCAGCTATCGAAAATTTCTGAGGCGGTTTCCTTCAGACTATTCCAAAGGGTTTCATATTATTTAATAAGGAAGGTAGGTAACTTAAATATCTATACTATATCCTGGTTCCACTGTATCCCTAACCACGAACGGCCATAACAAGAACCATAACCGTATAGAACTCGACACCATTTGACTTTAGCCAACGATTCCTTATGAGCACATTTGGCTAATAGACCCCAAAACCCAACCCAATAGACCCATTTGCATATCTCTCGGAAAACCTCAAAGCATTCCCCCATGTATGGTATTTTATGACGTCGGATGGCATTTGTTGGCGGTCTCCTTGACAGCTTCGCTGAAGATTAATTGCATTTGGCTGTTGCAGCAGGTGCTCTGCTTGGTATTGTTGTTATTTTTGGAAACTGCAACCGGCAGACACTCGCTGCTTTTGGCAAATGAGTTTGGACACTCTGGTAATTGCGAGTGAGTGGAGGGGAGGAGGCCATTTCAGGTCAAATATTCAACGGAAATGTTCAACTGAGAAATGGAATACGTATGGTACATCAAATATTGCACTTCCCAAAGTATTTAGCCAGCATTTTCTATGAATCAACCACAAAATAAATCACAATTTCATCATATCCTGCAGACCACCTTTGCAAGTTTCTATTAAACATTAAAAAAGGCTTTAAAAAATATTTTTTTATTTAAACATCAATTGAATAAGGATATTTTGAAATATTCCTTTAAAAATCGGAAACTTTTACAAAGCTGTATGAGCCAGCGTCTGCCAAGGCTTCCTGCATATCTGGGCTTGGTCCAGAGTCTTCCTCTTGTGATTCATTTTCCATTTCATCAGTCTTCGGCGGCACTAGCCGGTTGATATCCATTACCTTTTCCGGCGAAACCCATCCGGGAAACACGGTTGGAGCTTGGGGAATAGGGGGGCTTATATTCCTGTCTAGCAACAGACCTTCGCAGAGGACCACTTCGATATCATTACATTTTCGGCATATTCGGTATATATAAATAAACAAAGCAATTAGAATGGAAACTCCAATGGGTGCTAGGTAGTAACTAATTCCAGCTCCCGGGGGCTCGACCGAGGGTGTTTTGTTTCTAATCCACTTGTAACCCGTCCACTGCATCCCACCTCCAATCTTGTCACTATATCTGACCGCCACTGCCATGTTGGAGAATTTCATAGACTTAGAAAATGGATATTGATGCTGTGAGAGGCTAAGATCCTCCATCCTTAGGTCATCTTCTGTATCGCAGATCTGATGTATATTTAGGGAGTCTGTGCACCAGTAAACCGTGTACCCCACAAGATTGTTCGTATCGATGGGTGGATCCCATCTGAGGACCTGTTCCTTGTCATTGTAGTGAACATTCCTGGATTGTTGATCATTAAAATTCTTCAGACTTTGCAGTTTCAACCTGCTACCTCCTTTTGAATGACCCACTGAGTTTACACTCCAAACATGAATGGTGGCGGGGAGTGAGGCTTCCCAGTTTCGAAATAGTGCCGTGGTATTGGAAACTATTGTGGCATTTTTTCTGTAAAATCACACATTTATTAACCGAAAATCAATTAAAGGTAATAAGTTACCCATCAGATGATCGTGCGGCGTATCCGAAGTTAGGTCCATTCCAATCCACCTCATGAAGATGAAACCAGAAAATATACAGCTGCCTCTGATCCGGATCGTAAAAGAATCCGTTTGGTAAAATCTGTGGAGGGATTGAAGGTAGAGTGGCAACGGTCGTACAGTTGAAAATGTAATTCTCCGTCCATTCACCCGATTCATTTCCTCCAAAACGGCAATAAAATAGACATTTTAATTTTTTACAGCCACTGAAATTTTCGGAAAAGCAAGTGTAATTATTTTGTTCAATTGGGATACTTTTGTAGTCAGTTGGCGGAGTCTTATACCAATCCTTATAACTCTCGCATTCTACTTTGCAATCTAGACCTTTGTATTGTGATAAAACTCTGACGCAGCGACAATTTGAAATTTCTTCATTTTCGAATTCAAATTCCACTTTTATGAACTTCCAATCTGGAATCACGATTTTATTTGAATTAAGGGTCTTCTCTACACTCTGAATGATCCCCATTATTTCCATCTCTATCTTAAAATGGTTTGTTGTAATATTCTGGTTTATGGGAACATTTTTGCACTCAATTTCATCATATGATAACTCCACACACGTAACTTTGGGCAACCCATTTGCGCTCACGAAGTACGTTGATTTCTGCATGTATGGGTGTTTAAAACCTACTAAGGTGCAGTTTCCAACATCTTCTTTGTGGTACGATCGACAGTTAATGAATCCCACTTCCAGTTGTGGGATTATTCGATATATTTTTTCTGCTGCCCATGATGATTTATTATCCTTATCCACACCGCAATGAAAACGTTCAGGATGTGACAAAAGAAAATAACTTGCTTTTGCTTTGACAGTGAAATTGTCAACGATTTCAATTAGATAAAACGCCCCTTCTATTCCGAATTGAATATAACTGCTCGTTGCGGCGGAACCATTACACTGGCAAAATACGTATTCATTGTGTATAACCACATTCTCATGCTCGGACCATATGCGACAGGACGATTTCTCGCCCCTGCATAGAACTAGTATCGTCAGACTTATAAGGAGAGTCTTCCACCAAGTCATGGTAAGCGGGTTCCTTTTTTCAGCGGCGTTTTTTTCGAAACCGTTTCCCTCAAGCTGAGCTTGGCAACTGATGTTGAGAGCCAAGAAACCGCGGAAGGGATGTATAAAATAATTTTAAATATTTTTTACTTATCGCTGGTACATTAGGGAATTGACTTTTGATATTTGCAATAAATTGTGGCATCGAATTGCCGAATCGGTCCCAGGGACGCATTTATTACTTTTCACGATTGGATTTCCCAAATTCATTAAAGAATTTATAACTCAACTTTATGATTTTAAGTTAAAAATAATTTTAATTAAAATTCTCATGAATATTATTCGCTTATCACTGAACACTGGGGAACTAAACTTCGATTTAAAAAAAAAAAACTACACTTACGGCATTAAAATGGCATTATAGCCTATAAGTCTAAGCCTATAAGTCCCAGGGAAGGCATTATTCCTTTAGGGGTGACAATTGGATTGCACGCTGGGGGGACTTTGATATTTAAGCAGAAAACCTGCGTTTCATATTGCTTGTTTCAGGAATAAGAATATTTTGCGTTGAAAAAATGGTATTTTATTCAAGATCTCGCAGATTTGTTCCTAGTTCCAATAAATAAAGTGAACAGCTGGGGAAAGTGCTTGAAATATTACTCATACGACACGTATGCCAAAGCACAACCAACTTGCAACTTTAACTGTATTTTTTCCTTAAAAAATGTATAAGATACACTTTAATTAGGCGTATTTTTCATTCCGATATCTTAAGATTTTTCACAAATGATAAAATCGCAATATACTTGACAAAATGCAGCAGCATGAGCAATGGGCAAAACCTCCAAGCCCCGCGCACATCGACACATTCATAAAATGCCAAATAATGCTCGTCACAAATTCTAAATATTGCTGGGCTGTCAGCGATTTGGCTCATAAAAGAGCCAACGGGAAAAGCGCGCAATAAACATGGCCAAAACATGAAAACAATCGGAGAGAAACTGAAACAAGGGTGCACAAGCAACAAAAAACAAAAAACTAAATAAAATAAATGAAAACGTTGCAATCCTCCAAGCGTCTTGCGGTCCTTCTGGCCCACACCAGTATCCTTCGGGCCCACACCAGCATCCTTCTGGCCCATTGAAACGGAGCACACAAAACAAAGTCAGCAGAGACAGCTGAAGATAAACAAAGCCAAGTCGTAAAGAAAAAATACAAACAAGCCGAATGGAGGGGAAATCGAAGCGAGAGCGTGTGAGAGAAAAGCTCCTGATGACGTGGCGGAGCTTTTCTGTGACGTCACTATTGAAAGCCAAAACTGTAAAGACCGAGTCGAGCCGAGCCGACAACCCGAACCGCTTCAAACACTCGAAGGCGCTCGCACGGATCGGATGTGAAAAGCGGAAAATCGGAAAAGTGCCCAGGCGGTTTCGTTTCTCGTCTTTTTTTGGAAAAGTCGCGTTTGGAAAACCCAAAGGCACACTCTCGAATAAAATCAAAAAATAAAAGAAACGACTAGTCGCCCACTTGTGGAATCAAATGTTTCTCGTTAATCGCGAAAAAGGAATAATTTGAAGGAAAATTTCTGTGCTTCTATTTTCTAAAAATAGTCCAAAAATAATGAAAAGTGAACAAGTGCACAACATAGAATAATAGTTTTTCGTTTTCATACAACTTATCGATCAAATACATAATTTTTGGAGCCAAAACTTATTCTTCGGATGGCTGACCGCCCGCCGCTTAGCCGCTAGGTGCCGAAAGCTGAAGGAAAAGGTTTGTTTTGATTAATTAAATGCCTAATTGCAGTATCGTGACCCAAATAGATACAAAACCACTACAAAAAGAAAACAATAGGCCCGAAAAAGAAGTAGTTCTACCGCAATAGTCGTCGTGGCTTTAAGCGAGGGAAAGTGTCGTGTGCTTTGGCACTTTTTCCATTTCGATTTGTTTATTTTAGTCCTTGGTCCCCTTTTTATTTTTTGGTTCTTTGGGGAACAGGAACAGAAACAGGATAATCGGTGAAATCGTAAAAAAAAAAGCGAAGCAAAAATCACTCATACGCCTGGTGGGCCGGGCTGTGCATAAAATATTCAGCGGCAGGCTCCGTGAGTTTATGGACCGGCCGCCTTTAGAATGGCCTCCTTTTCGGAAATGGATTATTTTGGCAGCGAATTCTTCGGGGTGCCATAAAGCATTCGCAGTGCGGCGATGCGGTGGTGCTGGAAAACACACACAATGCGAAATTGCCAAATAACATTCAATTCGGGCAGTGTACCAAAAGATAAATGGCTAACGAATTGCACCCGGGAATGCAAGAACATATAAAATAAAATACAATTTAATCAAAAGTCACGGGTGGAGCAGCTCGACAATGGGCCCGATAAGCGAGCTGTAAAACCCCCTTGAGGACAGCAGAGTCCTTTGGTCCTTTGAATGGTGAAATAAATTTCAAGAAAGAGGAGAACCTAAAAAGAGAGTTCCGAAAATGGGGGGTTTTGAGCTTGGGTTTGGAGGGATATATAATTTATTAAACTAAAAAATTCGCCTTTGTTCTAAAGTTTATTGAACTCGACTCTTTTTTTTTTTGAAGTTCTGGCTAATAACACTATCCAACCATTAATCTTAATAGAAACGAAATAGATTACATTGGCGAAATGACCGCACATATAGAGCCAGGGATCAGATAACATTAAATTGCGGTTCACTTGCAATCAGAAAAAATAAGCAAAAAACAGGCCAGAACAAAGGGAGACAGTCATTGCCGGGAATCATTAGCGATACAAATCGCCAGGCCAATTCCCCCGAGATCCCAAGCCTAAACAGGACATCCACCCAAACACACTGACGCGGCATCCTTGCTCGACCACAATGGCCACCCACGGTGGGCGCTGGGGCGGGGAACAAATAAATGTAACTGCAGTGCGGCATTCGGATTTCAATTCACTGATTTCCCAACGAACTAGGATGGCGGATATGGGACGTGGCTGTTGCTGCTGCTCCTGCAGTTCGCTTCAAGCCAATTAAACTAAAATGCCCGACGGCTTCGATGGCACGCGACATCCTGGCCACGCCTCTTTGTTCCCGCCCACACATACATGAATGCCTTGGAAGACTGGGGATTGCTTTTATGGGAAATCAAATTATCAACTAATTCCATTAGAGTTTGGGGCAGAGTAGCTATAGAAGCGAGCACCACTAATTGTTAAGTGAAGGACTCCTTCACCGGGTCATAACCAAATTCGTAGCCTGCTCTTAGGCCAAGTGGATTGGCCAGATTGGACTCTGGCCTCTGGTCTCGGGGCTCGGGCCCGAATTTCCAAATTCAATTAAAAGCTGCACTCTCTGGCACATGGAGCACTCACTGCGGAGACAAAGCGTCCTTTTCCTACTTTTCCACCTCCACCTGCACCTGCACCTGGCATCCCGGCATTCTGGAACACCGGAGCCAAATACCCGTGGCCATGTGGCTCGCATATGTCAGAAGGTTGAGCCGGGTTTGTTTGTTTTTTTTTTTTTTGGCTAGGTCGCGGCATTGTGTGTTTCCTTTAGGCCACCCCGCCTGGCACCATGTCCTGGCACTTAACCCCCCAAAAACGTTGTCACCCGCTGTCATTGCTGTTAGGACTCTTTGTCCGCCCGGGGTCGAGTTGAACATGACAGGCGGCCCCTTGTCTCTGTTGCTGCACTTAGAGAAAAAAGGGGTGTACTGCTTGGGGCTCAGATGACCAAGCTTAATGTCAGATGTCATAATGTTCAAAGAGTTATTCTCTCAGTGTGGCTTAGAAAACTCCCATTTAAGTTGAGCAAGGAAAACGTGACTAGCTCCTCTGGCAGTGACGATTGGGAAGCAAAGTGGAGTTGAGTGGCTGGAGTGGGGTTGCCTCCTCTCCTGTCCACCCCCGGGCAGACAAAACTAACAAAAATATTTATGCACACACTTAGAATGCTCGGAGCAACCAAAAATAAAAATCCCAGCCCAGCCAGCCAAGCAAACAACAAACAAAAAGCAGTTCAAATGCGAATAAATTCCCCCCCACTGTCTCAACTTTATATCCTCAACTTTTCCTGCATTTTACTGGCGGCAGTGGCAGGACATTGAGTATCCTTTTTTTTGCAGAATCTCTCACGCCATTGATCTCTGCCGGAGGGGAAGTAATTGCAGCCGTCCGGGTCAGAGATGTCCTGACAAACTGAATGGCATTAAGAAAATCTGATAGTAAGAGGAAGTCAAATCCTTGAGGGGAAACATAGTTGGTTTAATATTGTGGCCCATTTAATTTCAATTTTTAAAACAATCTTGAAGATGTACATCTTCTGCCTCGATTGGCTCACCACGATCTTCCATTCAATGTCCTTTTGAATGAGAGCTTTGGTTAAAAAACAAAGGACATCATGGAATGCCGATTCCCCCCAATAAAATCGAACAAAGCATGTGAGCTGAAACTGGCAAGGCAATTATGGAAAGGGACAAAGGGAAATCCTCGTAAATTTCCTCAATTTGTTTTCCGGCCAAATTGCCATTCAACAAATACCAAAGACATTCCGGGACAGTTAATTATGACACACACACGCACCACACACACCGCTTAAATACATCAAAGCGAGAAGGTCCTTATTTATCCTGTCACAAACTAAATGAAGTGAATTTTTGTGTAAACATCTGGGCCTGGGCCTGGGCTTGATTTGAATCTAAATTGGGAATAACAAGCAATTGCGCGGCCCCCGAAGACTACCACTTGAAGTAAACAGCTTCAGCAGCCAAAGGTGGAATAGGCACACCCTCCTACACACACTCTCAGCCAAGCACGCCCCCGCCAAGTATTTGCACACACTCTGGATTCACCCACGACCCCCGCTCATGTGTCATAATCACCGTAAAGGACGTGAAGTTTAAACTAAACAGACATCGTTTTGGTGTATCAGTGTGTGTGATTGTGAGGGGTTGTGTGGGTGTGAGGGAGAGACCAGATTGGGCCCAGAAGAGACAGAACATTAAGCGCCATAATCTGGCCTTGAGCCCGATTCTGTCCAACGATTTGGAAAATCTTTCGAGAAAAATACATTTCTAAACAGATTTTCCTCATTCTCGCCGATTGCCTTTTATTTGCTGCTGCAATCCTTGTTTATATATAACACACATTGAGAGTCCTTATCGATTTATTGAACATTGGGCACGAAAGTCAAAGTCTACCCGTCTTCGGGGAGCCAAATGCTAAGCATATACCTATTCTCGAGCATAAATTAATGTCAAAAAGATGGAAAATCCACGGCCAGTGTCAAGTGATTGGTCAACTAAAAACAAATAAATTATATACATACCTCTAGGTTGATGATCTCCTCTTCGTGGAAGTAATTTCATCATGGTTTTCAAAATGTATTTTTTGTTTTCCTCTCAACCATAAAAATTCTTCGCACGCTTTTGTCCCCACAGTCGGATCCAAAATGCAAGATAATTTATTTAATCATTCAAATTTGTTTTCCTCTGCCGAGCAGAGAGCAAAATGAAATAACTCGTCGGGCTAATTTCATATTTGCTACATAAAATGTTGTCCCATTAGAGCCAGAGAAGCCAGGCAGCCAGTCAGCCATCCCCCAGCCAGCGACAACGTGGCGTATGCGCAATATAAAGTTTTTTGTTCTTATTTAGCTCATTTGAGACGACAAGCTGCACGGATTGTTGCTGCCAGATGAACATAATAATGATGGAGCTATGCTCAAGCCCAGATGAAATCTGAGGGAAAGTGCAGAGACCAAACATGAGGAATAATAATATTTATTACCAAAGAAATTCTACTTGAGTCTTCACTGTACATAATTTTTACTTTACCCTCTTCTGAAGTGTAATATTACAAATCAACTTAAATAATGAGCATAAGTGATTGAGGGAGAAATGGGCATCTAACCCTGACCTTTAAGACAACCTGGGCCACCGGGTGACCTATTCATATAAATTTTACAGCAACAGGTGTGCGCCTGCTATTCTGGTCTAGTGTGCCTGTCTCTGTAAGGGACAGTTGGCCGTGGAAACAAGCAAATGGCCAATTAGTTCCACATATTTATATACCATAAACTCCAACTCTGCAAATCTCTATTAAACATGTGAGTACAGTACGAAAAAAAGAGTTTTGAAGGAATTTGTATTTACGGCTGGAATATACCCAGTACTGGCACATTGAAGTTGAAACGAATAGATCCTAAAATATTTATTAAGAAGCCTTCCAAAATCCTAAGTGTCAACACGACTGTATGAGCCTGTGGCTGTCCAGGTGTCAGACACATCTTGTTTTTGTCCAGAGCCATCCTCTTGCGATTCGTTTTCCATTTCAGCTTTCTTCGGCGGCACTAGCCGGTTGATATCCATTACCGTTTCCGGCGAAACCCATCCGGGAAACACGGTTGGAGCTTGGGGAGGAGGGGGGCTTATATCTCTGTCTAGCAACAGACCTTCGCAGAGGACCACTTCGATATCATTACATTTTCGGCATATTCGGTATACATAAATACACAATGCAATTAGGATGGAAACTCCAATGGGGGCTAAGTAGTAACTTATTCCAGCTCCCTTGGTGTCGGCAGAGGGTGTCTTGTTTCTAATCCACTTGTAACCCGTCCACCGCATCCCACCTCCGATCTTGTCACTATACCTGACCGCCACTGCCATGTTGGAGAAGTTCATAGACATAGAAAATGGATATTGATGCTGAGAGATGCTGAGATTCTTCATGCTTAGGTCATTCTTTTCATCGCAGATCTGTGAAATATTTAGAGAGGCG